CCCCCCCCCCCACTTTCTTTTCTCCTCCCTTCCCCATCCGCTCCCCCCCTTTGACGCGCCGCCGAACGCAATCTCCTCCCTTCCCCTCATCCGCTCCGCCAACGGCGCCTTCAGCACCAGCAGTTCGTTGGCCCTCTTTGTTTGCGGCCGGGCCGAGGCGGACGACGCGAAGCGTTTAAAATTAAGGCCCCTATAGTTTAAGGCATATTCCTTAATTAAGGGGTATTGGGCTCTCTGGGAAGAGTTTGGCTTTGGAGATGCCCACCTCGCCAATCTGTGCCAGAAACTCGTACTCGAGGGTGAAATCAGACGACAGGGCATCCTGAACTCGTAGGACGTAGGAGATCCTATAGGGATTGCGTGTGTTTCTGACTCCAGGGCTTTTTTGCACGTCCCTGGGATTTCATGCGGCCGAGGGCCTTTCGACAGAAACACAACCCAACCCAACCCAACCCAACCCAACCCAACCCCCAAAACCCCCGCCCCCCAAAAAAAAAAGCCGTTCCTACCACCGAGGGCCAGGCAAGCAGCAGCTGCTGTTCGTCTGAGCGGCCCTTGAGGCCTCAGCTCCCGCCGGCCTTCTTTTTTGCATCTCAGCCGGCGCCTCGCATAGTATAGTATAGTATGGTATAGTATGTTATAGTATAGTTATAGTATATTATAGTTATAGTATATTATAGTTTTCGAAACCGGAGCCGAGGATCTTCGGAAGTGGGCCAGCAGCGGCACGACCTTCATGGCCCCAGGTTTAGGGTTTAGGGTTTAGAGTTTAGGGTTCCCCCCAGCCTTGCGAATGGAGAGCTTCCGCCGAAGTTTGGCCTAAAAGGAGCACCAAAGCTTCGGGGTTCAAGTCTTGACGGGGCGAACACTTCGCGGATAGCAGCAACGCAAGAATCGTGAGCTGTACACGAAGCTTTTTCGTTGCCTTCTGGCATGCATTTGAAATCCGCGTCGATGCAAAACCTGGGAAGTTCGTGGCGGCCCTCGCTCGCCATTCCTGCTCTCGTCCCTGCTGCGTCATCGAACTAATCGGCCCAGGATCGGGCCACTTCAGGGTATTCCCCGGTGTGTGCGAAGTTGAGGCTTACAGCAAAGGATCGGACTTGATGTTGGATGCAAGACGGGCGATACCCTGACACTGCACGGAGACAGTGGGGAGCCAAGCTTTCAAGGCTCATTCCCACTATGGTCCCGGAGCAGCGGAAGATGCAAAAGTGAGGCTACATCAGGAAAGGTGTCCAAATCATGGCCTGCGTTGACCATCGCCGAAGCTAGTTTGTTTTCTGGAGCACGCCGGCGTTGGGCCCGAGGCTCCAAAGCAAGGAAACAATGAACTCAAAGCAAGAAGGCAGGACTCCCATCACAGGCGACCCACTGAGCGACCTGCATGGGGACTCACATCCCTGCAGATCGAACAAGCTACCTTCGACCTCCATCTTCCGGATGAGCAAAATGTCTTCTGCCAGGACTTCCGGGTCTGAATGGATCAAAACCGCCAAGCCGGTGACAGTGAAAAGGTCTATGGTTTTCTGTACACGGTCCCCTACATGGACGTTCTCCTCCAGAGAAACGTAGGAGCGCAGTCTCCTGACTGCATCAAAACCAGGTGTGCCCTCAACGACCTCGGGGTCCAGAAAGTCTACATTCTAGATGCTCGAAAGCAAGCCGCTAGCAGCAGACATCCTCAGGAACTCGCAAGGACACACAACTCAGCAGAGCGGCACCCTCCTGGAAAGAGATGAGACTGACCATCTCTCCCGCCTGACAGGCGACCACACCTAGCAATCCCGATCAAAAGACTACTCAAGGGCCTCCGCCCAAAAAAAAGCCTCTTTAAAAAAGACCTGGATCCGGCAACCTCCGGACTTGCCAACCAAAGCCTCCTACGACACGTTTCGGCTTTTTACAACGAGCTCTCGCCTTGAGGAATGGTGACGGAGGCACCTCGGACAAACGATCAAAAGCCTCGGGGCTCAAGAAGGCATCCACGCAAACTCCCACTTGCGTATAGCCGGTGAGTGCTTCCGCGAGAGGCATCCAAGCGCCCGCAGCACCGTGGCACCTGCTGTTCACCTCGACGAGGCATGGCCCGTCGGCGGTCATCATGACCTCGGTGTGCGTTGCGCCGTTGGTGACCTTCAGGGCATCCAGGCAGCCTTTGCTGTAAGCAATCAGCTCTTGCGCCACGGGATCGTCTGCAAGCACACACTTCTGTCCGTACATCACGAAATCGCCACCGTTGGCGGCTCTTCGGTCGTACACCCAAACCATGGTCGTCTTGTGGACCCCGTTTCTTGACACGATGTCGACGATGTACTCTGTGCCTTTGAGAAACTCTTGTACCAAGACCGCTGCGCCTTGAGCACCGCACTTGCGCTGCGAATTCATGAGCAGCTCGAAGTGTTCCTTTGCCTCTTCGAAGGTGTTGCACTTCTTCACTCCATCTGAGCCGGCAGACTCCACGGGCTTCACGATCAGGGGCAAGGCTTCCCGCGCAGCGAAGTCGCTGACCTCCCAAGAGAGGCACCGAAAACAATCCGCAACACTTTCACTGAAGAGCCCCGGGCCCCCCCTTCTGCCTCGCTCCAGGAGGTGCCACAGGCCGAGCGAACGGATCGGAGTCCGGCTGCCTTCACGGCTTCCTGCTGGACCCGCTTGTCCCTCCGGTTCTCCATGCCATCTGCCGTGCTATTCCCGCGAAGACCCAAGAACTCTGCGAGCGCATCGGCAACCTTCACGCCGGTCTCACCGCCGCACATCACGGCGACCAGCTCCATGCCATCGGTAGCCTCGAAAGGGATGCAGCTACATCAATAGCACAGAAAGCAGCTGGCTGGACTTAATTCTCAACGTGGCTAGCAGAGTATGCAGCAAGAACACACTCTTTGCGATGTAGCGCTTGCCCGAGACAGGGTGGTTGCGACATTTCTTGTCGCAGGGAACCCATCTATTACATACTGAAAACACTCACTCAACCCTCTCGACTCGCAACAAGATGTGATGCCGTTGGGAGCGCCTACAGTGGGAGCACGAAGGAAAAGACACTGAAACGAAGAGCACACTCCAATCATGTCGGAGAAGTGAGCCAGATGACGAGCTTGGTGATTAAGTTCGGGGTTCTCACAACACGACTTCCTACGGCTGGCATGAAGCAAAAAGATCAAAACATGCCTTGTGGATGGTCGCGGCAGTCGCTGCCAAAGTCTCCTGCTCTTCGAGTTCGCACAAGAACTTCTCCGGGACGCCTTTCGCGGCTGCCGGAAAGTGCCCGCGGTTCCTAAGTGGTGGGTATTTTTGCCGTCGGTGCCAAAGACAAATACTTGTTGTTGTTGTGGCTGAAAACTATCTCGAAAGTCATGCTGCCAGGCTCTGCCCAGAGGCTCTTGCACTTCGGAGGTCCACAAGGCCACAACGCAGTAGTTCCGCTGCAGCAACTCTGCTGCCAGCATGCCGCCGGTCGAATAGGGATCCACCACAACCACGCACTGCTGCAAGCGCTGCACCATTTGCTGAGAGACACCCATGGCAACTATGGAAGATTTACAAGTGTCTGCTATCACCCCGAGTCCATGCACTGTGAAGAAAGTTGTCGCGGCAGGCGCTGCATGCTCAATACTCAAACATGCGGTAGTGGTACCAGTGGTACCCAAACACATCCAAAGACTCGACTCCTTGCACAAGGGGCCGAACAAGGTGCCGGTCGATATACATGGACGCCAATGGCCGAGGCCCTCGAAACCTCGATGCAAACAATATGGACTTGCTTCTATGGCCCAACAAGCTCACGGCTCACAGCCCTCGGCTGCACACCGGCCATCCAAGCCTTCATGTTCAGGGACCATGCGCATGCGTGCCTCGCCCGAAGGTGGGCAAAGTCAGGGCAGGACACCCGACCATGTCAGTTCAGCTGTGATCGCCTCATCCAGGCAGAAGAAGAAGGAGATGATGCTATCTGCGGGCACTGGATAGACCTTGTGTCATGACGCGAGACCCTGCGCCCTTGGACAGTCAGTGACAGTCGCACAAAGGCACTGACACCACTTGCATCTTTTCCTGCCGGATGCTGGAACCTGGCATATTCAAGTAGCATTATTTAGAAATGTGGTTCCCACACATACCCAAATGCTTGTGAAACATTGAGGCGCAACAGCTGGGAAGACCCCGACCTCATTCCTCAAAACCAGCCAGTGCACTTGGCCGGTGCTCTTGCGGCTGTCGTCGACGGCACCACAACCAGCTGCTGGAACGCCTGGAGCCAAGCGAGCACTGCTGAAAAGGCAACCTAAACCCTAAACCCTAAACCCTAAACGGTTTAGGGTTTAGGGTTTAGTTTCCGACTCTTCCTGCCAAGACCTGGCCGAGCCTTGCAAAATCCCCTGGCCTGGAGCCGTGAGGTGATCGGACTCCACTGAATGAGCCCCAAACTGCTGAGTTCCTGCCTGGTTGAAGTCAAGATTCACAGCTTCGCAGGTCTTGTAGAGCAGGCGAAGCAGAGATCTGCATGGGAAAGCGAGTCGGGGAAGCTGCTGAAAGAGAGAAGGGTGCCCGTAGCTTCGGGGTTCCAGTTTCGGATCGGCTGCCGGGTTACGGATCAAAGGGGGATAGTTTCGGCGCCCAGCTTCGGCACAGCGGGAGTCAGTTTCGAAACACGAACTGACCATGGCGAGGCCGAAACTGCCCATGTCCTCATCCGAAACGGTCCGGGACGTTAAACAACTCCGCCCTCGAAAAACAACTTCCCAGTACTTGGAGGATCATGGGACTTAGTAAGTATGGTTATAAGTCCCCTAAATGGGGTTATAAGTATAGTTACCTTAGTTATTAAGTCCCATGATCCTTTAAGTACAGATGCCGAGAGCTAGAACCTGACGCCCTGCGTGCGCCTGCCATGGCACAGAGTCAGATCCAGCCTGGTCTCCAGGCGCCGAATGAAAGGGAGCCAAAACCAAAACTGAGGACCAAGGGATGAAAGGAAGCCAAAACCAAAACTGAGGACTAACCGAGGGAGTCGCTTGTAGTGCCCGGAGGGCTCGCTCGCCCGGTAGCCGCAGTGGCCCTCCGCAAACCGGCTCTCGTCGCTGGTACCTCCCGGCCAGGCCAGGCTATGGCTACTTGGAGGATCATGGGACTTAGTAAGTATGGTTATAAGTCCCCTAATTGGGGTTATAAGTATAGTTACCTTAGTTGTAACCCTACTTACTAAGTCCCCATGATCCTTTAAGTATGGCATCATGGCTTAGGGTTTAGGTCCGGAAAGAAAAACGAAAGAGGGCCTTGGCATCCGACGGCATCGAGCATTTTAAGGCCACAGGTCGGTTGTCCCAGCAGGCGAAAGAGGCACCTGGAAAAACTCCAAAGACTTTGCTAGGGCACTGTATCGAAGATTCGAAATCAGGTGCGGGTAAATCTGCAAGCCTCAAGCCATGCACGCCAAAGGGGTTCTGTCCCACGAACAGCTCCTACTGGTAGAGCCCACAGTGGATGCACACAACCGGCTGAGAAGACACGAGGAGACGGTGGTCCTGCAACTTGGTGTGCTTGGCCAAGGAGTCCTGGGGGCGGAGATGACCCCTTCTGAACGCGAAGCAGCGTCTGAGATGCGCTGCACCTCCAGGACCAGTGCGCTTGTCGACGTCAGCCGGTTCATGGAGAGGTCCAGCATGGTGAGGCTGCTATTCCGCCCCAAACCTGCAGGAGGGACAGACTTGAGGTGATTCTTTGGTGTGCAGGTAGCAGCATAGATGAGTGTACTGCGTTGGCTGGCCCTGGCCTTCAAGGAAGATGTGCATGGAGGGCTGGGAGACCACCCGCGCACGGCAGTCGCAATTTGGAAGGTGAAGCTCGCGTAATCGCTTGTGGCTGGCGAGCCTGGGACTCTCACAAATGGTCCCACGAGCACACGGATTCTGACGAGTGGCCTTGCAAGTTGCGAGACGCCACCATCTCTCAACTGCATGATCAATCCACTTCTGTGGCACAGGAATGGCGCAGTGTGTCGAGGTTTACTGGTTCTGCCGAGAGGCATGTCACCCAGCGACCGCAAGGCTTCTTCAGAGAAGCTGTTCCAACCGAGGCCCAGGACCTTCCCATGATCCGCCGCAACACAACATGGACCCGACTGACAACATGTGCGAACTGTCAGCGGGACGAAAGTGCAAGGAAAGCTCAACTGTGCACGTAGTGCAATCCGAAATCCGCTCATCACTTCAAGGTATGTGTCAACGTCAACAGCGACCCAACAAAAAAAAAAAAACAAAGATTCGTGTCCCACTTCGAGCTCCAGCTCCGGCCTCCAGTGCTGGCGCATTGAGTACATCCTCACAGGTACGGTTGTTTCCGACAGGCTTCAACAAAGGCACTGCTGCACGCTCGCTTTTCTCAATTGCAGACCTAACCAGTCTGTGTCTAGTTTGTGCTTTTATGGTACCTAGAAATCTTTGCAGAGTTGTCTTGGGATCGTCCTGCAAGCAGCTCGCGGCTGCAGGATGGTGGCCAAGGCCCGTATCTTGAAGCCGGAGACCTTCTAGCCAGCTGAAGCCACAAAAGAAGAGCAGCGCAGACTTGGATGGCGAGAGTTGGGTGCAGCCGGGATTCATCTGATGGCCGGATGCAGATGCACAGCGCTGCAGAGTGATGTCAAGGTGTTGCTTGAGATCTTGATGCCGCTGACGTCCAGGTGTCTCCTTTGGGCAGAGAAGAAGTGTCCAAAGATCTCTCAAAGACTCTACACATAGGGGGGTTTCCGAAAGTAGGGGACCCTAATATAGTACCCTTAAAAAAAGGATCCTTATTATAGGGACCCCAAAATAAGGTACCCCTTATATTCGGAAACTCCCACACAGATCATCGGCCGAGGGTCAGCTTGAAGAGGCCACTACTCTCCTTAGGATTCGGACACAGAGATCTCGCCAGAGATTAAACCATAGTATCAGGGCCCCATAATTCTAAGGTCTATTCCTTAATTAAGGGATATTGGGTTCTCTGGGTCTGATTGTCTCTGCGACGGCCCCAAAAAACCGCCACGCACTCGGAGCCAAGGCGCCCCAAGCAAGCCAACGATGGTGGCCATCGCTCTGGGGCCTTTCGACTGCGCAAAACACATGCATGCAGTGTTCAACAGTCAATATCTGGGTTGTAGTTTGGGGGCCCTGACAAGTATTTATGAATAGGTACCTCTATAGAAACTTTAAGGGAAATTCTAAAGTTTCCCAGATTGCCACCTAGATATCAATGTACCCTGAGTCTGCAATCCTTGG